TCAATGGCATAACCTTACAAACTGGGTTATTTTTAATTATATTCATAAGTTAGCATTCATGACCTCATATTTTGATCTTAGGTGCGGCCCAATTAATTTCAAAAAGAGTATTTTTGAAGGTAACGATTTGAACTTGTTTTTCACTTTAATAAATTAGATTTAAAACTAAAAGAAAAGAAATTAGGTTACTGCATAACATTTATTACCAAAACAACATCAGGTCGGATCAATCAAAAGCATTTTATTATTATTGCAAACTAATGGATATTTGGGTTCGACTCTAAGTCTTTTACCCGGATCATTAATACATCATTAAATTACTGCATGATTGTTAAACAATCCTTGCTTGCTGAAAACACAGTTAACGAATAACTAATTTAGTGCAATTAGTTATTTTGTCCAATATAAAAATATGAAAATAGGTAATACTTTATGAGTTATTTTACCGTGCGTCTGTCTCACATGAAATAAATAAGTAAATAAATAAGACATGAAGAAATAAATAAGTACACGTATGATATTATTTACGTAGCGATGAATAAAACTAAAAAAATACACATAAACTGTGACGCACGCGAGATAGTGTACTCGTAAAAGAACACGTGCCCTAGACCATGAAACAAGGCCATGCTGTGCGGCCAAATAATAATACTGAACGTAATGGTCCAAGAAACGAAAGCGAAGCGTTTGTAATAAACGCGACCTCTCGCACTGTCGGTCAATTAATGTAATTAATGACCTACGAAACAGATATTCGTATATCATTTCGCCGAAGTTTACGAAGGATATATCCTAACAATATTTTTTTTTTATATTTATCTCATTGGGGAGACTTAAATGACGTGCAACATAACCATCATTTAAGATTAAGATTTGTGTTGAAGGTTGAGAGTAATAAATTCCAACGACCGACGACCGCTGCGACCTGGAAGATCTATTGTAGTTCAGCGTAATAATAAACATTTCTCCCTGTTTACTTAAAGCTTAATAAAGAGAAGATAATTTATCATGTTTATATATCTACAGCTACTATCTGGCTCATAGAGTCAATGCCGAGGAGCTTGTAATATCCTTATTATCCTTTCAATGAAGTGGACTTAAAATTTTTGTTAAATCCTTTCGTTATATAAAATATCCAAAGATATCATTGAAACGTAGTTACTATAATGTGGAAGTTGATATTCTTGAAATTATTTTTAGAACATAACATTTTGGCTACCCACGTGCTATTTTCGTTTTATTTGTACGGGTTTTGGATATTCGATTTACACTTATTTGTACTGTTTAAGTAAAAAGGTCCAAGTATCACATGTTAATTGATAACATAACGCCCGGTTTCTAAAACATAGATCATCGTAGAAGTCAACTAACCAGCTGTCAACTAGCTTTTCAAATCTAATACCTTTAAACGAGCACATATATATATATATATGTATATATATATATATATATATATATATATATATATATATATATACGGGATTTCGGAAACGGCTCCAGCGATTTTCATGAAATTTAGTAGATTCGGGGGCTAAAAATCGATCTGGCTAGGTTTCATTTTTAGAAAATGTCGTTTTATCCCTGTCTTCAGGGAATGAAAATTATTATTCGAATACGACGATGTTATAATAGCTCGTTCGGTAATCGAGTGGCCTCGAAACAGAAGGCCGTGGTTTGTGTCACGATCATTTACACACTTATTTTTTACTTTTTTTTCGATTCCAGATCATTGCTTTCTTCCTTTTTTATGCTTTGTCGATCGAGATGATTTTGTTATTTTTTTCCTTTTTTTTAATAAATACCCGTTCATATTTTCTTATTATTACGTCGGTAAGATCGTAAAAATATTATACATATTTCATTACTCGGTAATTTGTAACTAAATGTAATTTCCAAAATACATGATTTACCATAAAAAAACAGGTCCTCCAGATACTGTTATTTAAATTGCCAAAACGATCCTCACACACTTTGAATGGATCATTCTGATCATTAAGATGATCATTCTTTTTGATTGAAATCATTGCCAGTTTTTAGTACCTATTAAATAGTCTAAACGAAATAAAATCGCAGTATTCGTAAAATATTAATATTTTGAGTTTTTCTTACAATAATGACCAAATTCGTCATATTATCGAAGGTCATACATATAAAAGAAAGTATGAATTATTTGAAACCACGGTGAATTTTGAATTTTAAGCTCATTCGTAGTTTTAACAATTTCCTATAGTGATATAGAATGGCAACTATGGCTTGAGAATATTTATTTCATTTGAATTTAAAACAAGAAAATTTAATCTTTGGAAACAAACAGTTTTACCTATGTCAATTCGTATCTTGGCTACAGCATTGGAAAGCAAAAGTTTTTAGATATTAAGACGTAACAGTGCTTATGCACTGTTACGTCTAATAAACAGCAAAGAATTATGACATTGTAATAGTGTCGACCTTCAAATTTAGATTTGTTCGCAGTTCAAAACAGGTTCTTAATAAAGAACTTTATAAGTAATTATGCTTTATAGCCCGCCTTTCGAAAACAATTGCTTTACAGTGAAATTTCAACTCGCTAATACATATTTACAATTTTTGAATGATTTGATAATTATATACCGGTAATTGAAACAGACAATTTGGATATTACATTTTAAATATAGCAACAATATTGTTTATAGTAAGTTAAACAGGTAAATCAATTTAAAACTCGCAAGTGATTATAATTATTTCACTTCGTACATTAGTTTATTAAAATCACGTTTTAACTGGCCGTTTTCTTTTTATTTATAGCCAGCCGACCTGCTTTAAAAGTATATTATTATATATGATAAACATTTCAGGAAATGTACAGGTCCTGAGAACATTGATAGCATTCGGATCAACAGTATTTCTTTATTTTTTGACAATTACTCCTACGTCACTAATTATCACGAAATGTTGCTAGTCGCTAGTTTATTATTTTGAATGGATATCTTATTTATTATGTTTGCATATTTGCTTTTAGTATTATTACCCACTGCTATAACTTAAGAAATTGCAAAAGCTGAAGCAGTTCAATGTCGTTGATCTTAATTGTAATAATAAAAGCACTATCACTACCTCCATTGCCGAGTAGGAAGTGTTTTTGATATTAATTTAATTTGTTTTTCTTCCTTTCCTTTATTTTAGATCTAAATAAGACTTTAATTAAAATTGAATGGATTGGACCCTAAATATTTTTTAAACATTAGGTTTTCCTAAAAACTCTTTGGGCTTTCAATCAATAAAGTAATGAAACAAACGATCACTTTAAAATTCAAATAGTAACTGTATTAAATAGTAACAACAGCATTGGTTTTGTCTATTTTTTTTAAATACAGATTATCACATTTCATTCCTGCTGTTCCTACCGTTCTTGTTCCTGACATGATATAAAATTCAGATTTTTTTCTTCATTACCTGAGTGCCCAAGGAGGGTAATGTTTTTCGAGCGTTTGTATGTGAATATGTACAATTCTATGTCATGCTCTGGAACCCCTAAAATAATCTTATATATAAAAATGGATTGCTGTTCGTTAGTCTCGCTAAAACTCGAGAACGGCTGGACCGATTTGGCTAATATTGGTTTTGAAATATTTCTGTTAGTCCAGAGAAGGTTTAAACGATGAGAAATTATGGAAAAATTGCATGGAAAATCGAAATAGCAACAATTTTATTTTCCCATACAAACTGTACCTGTCAACCTGTCAACCATGTCTGAGTAACCTGTCAAACACATGCGTGCGTTCTGATTCCTGTAGAAATAATTTATATGGCAAAACAACGTTTGCCGAGACAGCTAGTTGTTAATATTTTAATGCTTTCGTTTTTTGTTTCACTTATTATTTCATTTAGACGATTAGGTCCACTCCTTAGACTTAATTATGGAATCAATGGACCTTGAACATTAGTTTTTGGAAGAGATTTAGTAGGATTTATAAATTTTGAAATGAAATGTAACGAAATTAATTAGTCATTATAAGTCTTCAAAAGGGAGTTTAAAATTCGTTTTAATTAACTTTATTGATTTTTCCGTAATAGTTCAGTGTGAGAGTGAAAATCTCACTCAATTTTCTCTTAATTCAATATACTGTAGCAACTGTGAACTACGATTCTTGAACTACGTGATGCACTGTGTCCATTAGGGCGATCGATTACATTTTCGACTACTGAAAATTTCGAATATAAACAAAAGATTCGTTTATCGCTCCATCAAACGTTATAATGAAAATTTAAGTTTACAAGATAGAAAAAAAAGTGGTCGCCTTCGCACTATTAGGACTTCAGCAGTGATAAAAGCGAAAAAGTTTTCATACAAGTTGAATAAATGAAATAATCCAGGATTTGATATATTTCAGATAAAGACAATAACGGGCTGGTATTCAGCTGTTTGGTTAGATGATCGCGTTGTATTTTATAATAATGAAACTCCCTCTTTTTCTATCGTAGCTAAGTATTTATGCATCAAAATTATTTTCTGCTATGGAGGCATATGCCTTTCTTTTAAGTCCTAAAAGCATAACGTAAAAAGCGAAAGATAAGAATTTCATAATACACTATTATAATTCAACTACAATTCTTTTATATAAAGTTAAACACTTGAAATTAATGTTCGTAGTAGCGTTTCGATTTTACGTAGCATGAATGAATTAATTGATTTTTTCATAGGCACTTTAACTTGATTTCGCGAAATCGCTATAAATCTAAGTTATGAAATGTAAGTCATAAATATGATATAAAAACGTTAACACAATTTAACGTGTAATATTTTCTCAGATAATATCTCAGACAACGCCGTCAAGCATTTCTGTTTATCCTTGATCGCTATCATCCGTGCAAGTATATTATACGTAAAGCACTATCAACTCTGCGCAGTATCGCCCGCGCCTCTACGGAGAGACGGCCTCTCGTAAGATCTTGAGTCAAAGAAAAGAAAAAGAAAAAATAGCAATTAAATTGAATTATAACATTTAAATCTCATTAACAGAATGAGAGAATTATACGGTAAGAGCGTAGACTACAATAATATTCATGTCCTATGTTTCGGTGTCTATTACGTGCTACTATATTGGAAATTTTATGTTTTTCGTACAAATGTAATTTGCTGAAATGTATCTATGACTAGGTTGTCGACGGCAAAAATTGGTTTTTTGTCAAAAGGTCAAGGTCAATTGATTGACAATTATTTGAAAGGAAATAACAAAAAAAATATTTGATCGCAAATATTTTAATATTATTTTAATATTATTTTTCATTATAAAAGTTAGGCAAAAATAAACAACCAGAAGTGTTCATTGGCGTATTCATTGAAAACCGCCAAAAAAGAAAAGAAGAAGAAGATCGCAAATATTAAAATAATATATTTTGAATTATAAATTATTTATTTAAAAATGTAGTAAATTTATACCGTCATTAATATTATTCAGCTGGAGATATATTAAGCCCGTTACATTCAGTTCTGCAAAACGACTCCGTAAGTGTTACGACTATGTATTTTATAAAACTATATTTTTTTGCAATCAAACATAAGATATCAATGTTAAAATCGTTCTGAATGCGTTTAGAATACGACAAGGATTGTTAAATTTGAACGATTTCTAAATATCTTTTTGTATGCCAGTCCGTGCTACATTCTTTACACAAATTTATATCTACATTTTCATGCATGTACACATATATACATGTATCCAAGTATATACACGAAGTACCTACAATTTTTTTTTTCAGACATAAAGTTCAAATAATGTTACCAATAGTAGCCAAGAAAGAAATCATGCCTGTTTCGCATTCAGTAACCCATGAAAATGTGCATCAGAAATTAAGTTTAACTATTTCGTAACTATGGATGAGAGTTTGAGTAATTGAATATATTGATGCGTTTATGTAATCCTATTGATGTGATCCAATCCTCTTATTGTTATAGGCAATTCCGTCAGCCGGGAACACATTGGCCGCCGTAAAGCCGTTCCCGTCATCTATCTTCGAGGTTCCCATTATGAAGTGGGATATGATGTGGTAATTGTTAACACTAACATTTTTATAAAGCCGTTTTATATTTACCTGCAATATAATCTCGACCACTTTGATTGACATTTATTAAAAAACCTTTCTGTTTTAATTTAAGTTGTGGATGTGTCTAAAATATATTTATAAGTAATAAAAATATTTATGAATGCGTGAGTTATTGAAATCTTTAAATTATATATGACATACATACTGTACATTAACTTTGACCTTAGCATTGTGTACTACTGAGCTTGTTCATTAAAAAATTCATCATTAGACTTTTGAACTAACGAACTTAGTAATATACATTTATAAAACTTTCGGTTTTCAATTTTTTTACTTGATTTAGCCTATAAACCTGCGTTCTAAGGAGCTCTTTACTATGAAATTCACTTATTGAAAGCAGGTGTCTGATTATAGATTACTTTTGTTTCAAGGTAAACATACTCGTCAACATTTTTTTTTGAAATTTTCTTAAAAACGAAAGAGTTCAAAACCGGTGTCAGACAGTGACGTATAAACTACGAAATATTTAGTTTCGCCAATCTGCCAGCGTGCCATAATGATTGAAACGACGTCAAAAAGGCCATTGACCTTCGCATATGAATAAATAATGCCAGAAGATCGAATTAATTTTAATAATTTTTATTATCTATAACTATTATGTTTATTGAAAATCGATTCAATTTAGATTGGATGATACTGATTTGATAACTTCTAATGATCTACTCGTAATAATATTAATTCACTATCATGTATTCTTGTTACAATAGCACTTTATCAGAGATAAATTTGTTTATTTTCATTCCTTAGTTTAAAAGGCCATTGATTGAACTGCATAATTATTTGATAGATTTACATAAATTATACTGACCTCGTTTTATAATGCAATTCGAAATAAACCGAAGCCTATATTACCTGACACTAAGTTTTGTACAATAGATAATATATTCATATAATTTGAGATTTTTATTCATTGTTTTAATTTTGTTATGAATTTTTAATTTTAAAAAGGCATTTGCTGCAAATATTGTACACAGAGATGACAACTTGTTTCTTACGTGTGACTTAAATAACGTGACCATGATACTGCTTTTTCTGTCATATTTGTTGATACTTGATCGTTTTAATTCTTTGCTGCTCAAAGTTAGATTGAATCAGCCGATGGAAAGTGCCGGTATCTGCCACTTTAAAACCTGTTGTGACTTAAAGTAAAATTATGCTCTATAATTTGACTCTAAATCTCATTATAAGTATATTTTAACACTGTATAACATAACAATAAACAGTTATTCATTACCTAATTCATTAGTGAAAACACCAATTAGGAAAAAGACTCGCCATTTTGATTGACTAAATGATGGAGATGATTTTGAATAATTTGTTTCAAAAATTCCAGGGTCGGAACTTTGCCTCGGTCATCCAAAGTTTCCTCGAAACCTTCCAGGGGTTGAAGAGCTTTGAAAAAGAATACAAAACAGCCTCCGGTCGCAACGCTTATGACAAGACCTTGGCTAATATGAGACAGAGATACCCACACTACGTAAAGGAAATCCAAGGAATAGCTGACGGGGCCAACGTTTCATTCCATCAGGTTGGTAATAAAACATTTAGCGGTAGAACAGTCCATAATTCCATATTGGATGGTTGTCTGTTGCGTATCCTATATGTAACTAGGTTCCTGCTTATTTTATTGCAACAAATGTTCATTCTTTTCCTATGATCAAACGATATAAAGGCTATGACGATATAACGATATAATGACTCTGAAATATGTAACATTGATATTGCTTTCCGTGTAAGTTTGCATTACTGGAATGGTGTAAACAATCCAACCCAAGCGTAACTGATGAGGCATTAAACTTTATTCGGTCACAATAATTATCCTAAGCATAAAAACGCTCCACAATTTCGAGCATAACTAGCTATAAAAAGACGTGGAGACTACAACTATGTGGAACAAGATAATGATGTACAGATAAAACGTCCACATTTAGTGTACACTCACTGAATATGCATTATGTAACATAACCTCTGCAAGATTAATTAAAATCATCATCATCCCTGCCATTATCACATGTGAATCATGTTTGAATTGTAATGACTAGACTTTTAAGATTGGCCCCTTACCTGAAGTCAACGTTCCTTGGGAACAAACACCACTTTGGGATCCGGAACATTCGGGTGGGAAGCCACTGCGCCAACGGATAATCTTATTAACTTAATTAAGATATTATCATAAAAAACAAAGCAAATTGCAGTGAAACATGATAACATTGCTAATTTATGTAATTAAAATACAACGTAGAGGAATTGTGAAATTGAGATTGAAAGAGAAATTGAGAACCGCATATGGGAAACAAAAAAACGTTTGGTTATTTAAAACTAAAATACGAGCGCACACTAAACGCATGGCATTTTATTTTTTGTTTTATTTGTTAGTATGTTTATTTCTTTAAAACCATAACAACTTTGACTTTCAGCTGTTCCTGCTCCATATGGACGACATAATTGAAACAGTTAATGAAAATAGCGCATCGCGTTATGATAGAGGTGGCTGCAGCGATATCGCTTTCAACACTCCAGCTAATGTGAGTAAAGCTAATCTATCGAGCTGTTAATTTACAAGTCGATTACATAACGAATATTACGCACCTAGCCTATTTCGAGTACCTAATACCATGTCTGAGCTCTTCGTGACACTTTTAGGAATTTCTAGTCCTTTATAGTTGAACAGTTATGTTTAGAGCAATACGCGTTTTCCATAAAAGTCAATCGTATGCGATTGGGTTTTATTGAATCTTATATTAATCCTTTTTTTACTCAAAAACTGGCAAGTACTTTATTACCGTCTACATAATAGTGCCTGTAGTCAAGTACTGGTCTACAACATTAAGTAAATTTTTTTCATTAGGGATGGATGTCACCATTCCCAGCTTCTAAGACTATATTTTATGAGAGTATGGTTAATGTCCAGAATCACTACCACTGACTGATATACCTATTTTAACTTCTTGATATATATAAATATATATATATAATCGGAATCTCGGAAACGGCTACAGTGATTTTCATGAAATTTCGTATGTGCGTAGATTCGGGGGCGAAAAATCGATCTAGCTAGGTTTCATTTTTAGAAAATTTCCTTTTATCCCAGGCAATGAAAAATATCATTCGAATATGAAGAATTATAAATAAAAAAAAGGAAATTAAGAAAATGTTATAATAACGCTCGGTCGGTAATTGGGCGGCCCCATATCCTTAACCTTTAAGCGTGAAAGGAAACGGCACTCTTGTCACAATCTCATAACAATGTGTGGTAATGAATAAGTACCCTTTCATAAACAGTACGGTCTCTCATTTGGGTAAAATTTTTGTTATTATATATATTGAATCTCAGAGAAGTTATAAAAACTTTAGTCTTATACACTTCTCAGATTAATCAAATCTATTATAAGAGAAATCTGCAGTTGCTGTATTATTTTATAATAAACTAGCGGACCCGACAGACGTTGTCCTGTACCCAAGAGTTAAATCCGACAACAACTTATAAATAAAACAATTTAAAAAAATGTAGTGGACCAAATTGTGAATCTAAGCCATTCTCGAATCGACCTGAAGACACACACAAAATTTCAATTAAAATCGGTCCAGCCGTTTAGGAGGAGTTCAGTGACATACACAGGCACGGAAGAATTATATACAGCGTGTCGTTACCATCGCGACAATAAATGAACACACATAATAATCTTTTAAAGTTGTATTAAACATTTAAATTCTTTAATCATCAATATTTACAGAGTTATTAAATTTTCCAAAACAAAGAATTTTAGAATACCCTTACCTATAAAAGCGTAACGTAAAGTTCATTTGTAAAGGTCACAAAGCATATGAATGGGTTGAATGAATTTAAAAGAGACAAAACATACTGTTAGAAGGAGAGGCTTGTAATACGACGCTGTGGCGCGAGTTGTATAGGATTTTACAAATTTTTTTTACTTATTCGGTTTGTTTGAAAAATATTTTTTTTTAATTATGGATTTTGTTTAAGGTTAACATTTATGTATCGTTATGATTATTGGAAAATAGTGTTAGACGTGTGTTCATTTATTGTCGCGAAGGTAACGACACGCTGTATATATATATATATATATAAAAATATTTTATTTTAATATTAAGGTGTACTTATATTGAATTCTAGACTGTAATCGGCCATACAGAAGATGCCCTAATGGAAACATTAAATCACTTCTACATAATGTCAGCTCATGTCATACCGACTCCCGAAGATAAAGAACACGGTGTAAGTATTTCGCTCTCTTTATAAACACACTACTATTATTATTTAATACGACTTTTTTGAAAAAACTCGAATGCAATCATTTAGGACCGTTATTTCTAAACTTATTTCTGTCATTATAGATCCTACAACAATGTGTTAAGGTTATAAAAATGTATAACAGACCGTCGAGTGAACTAAGTTTACAACGGTCTATCACCGCTGTAAACTTAGTTCAGTGTCCGAGTCGTCGCTTTTAAATCAATTTAATAATTTGGGTGTTGAATTTACACGTGCACAGTGCTGAAGGAAAACATTGTGATAAAAATCTGCATATTTTTAGGATTAATATTAAATAAATATAATTTGAGAATTTCAAGACACAGCGAACGTTGTGAAAAGTTAAAGTATTACATTTCACATTACTAAATGAAACCATTTTTACGGATTTATTGAGTGTTCAATATTTTTGTCCAAGGCCTTTGAAACTTTGACAACCTTTGAAAATTTGCGCTGACCATCAATATAAAATCGCAGACCCTAGTGGGCAGTACCACTTTTGCTTTGCTTATATCATGTATCGATCTTCCGTAGTATGAAATTTTGACAATTTACTTTTTATCAGGCTGTCGAAGAGAGATTCGCTTCGCTCTGCTACGCCGGTCAACTCCCTGGCTACACAATGGGCTTCAATGAGAACGGACTGGTTTTTACCATCAACACCCTGAGCCCACAAAATCTAAAACCCGGAAACACCCGTAAGATGAAACGGTTTTCATAACTTATCATTCTCTCGTTGTATTATATTCAAGCGTCTGACGGCATCACAGTTATAATTATTTTTTTTGTAATACGAATTGAAACAGCCTTAATTATCTCACGGTTAAATTAAATAATTTTTCGGTTTTTAGTCGCATTAATATAGGAAATCAAAGAGTAAGGTCTAATTTATTTTAGCTCTATCAGGGTAGATAGACATACTAATCCAGCTTTTATAAGGCCCAAGTATGAGGAGTAGCAAACCTGTCTCCAAGCACCGGTCACAAAGGCCTTTACCTTGGGAAATCCTTGTAACGGAAATGTTGTTGCACATGTTTATAAATGGCGAATACAATATCTTATAACTCCTTTTCTTTCCGATTACGAATGCTCTGACATTAAGGAAAAGGCAAGCTGGTGTATGCTGCTTGCCGATGGCACTTATTAGACAAAATGGTGCCGCGTTTTTTAGCTATTGGAAAAATGGCGAAAAAGAGCGAAAAGCGTCGGCCTAAAGATTAGCACAACCAAATCAGAAAACTTTTTTTTGCGTTTTCAGTTCCAAATTCAGTTTATCCGATGTTGTCTAATTTGTTTCGATTATATACGTATCTCGGCTTATTGATCCATAATGACGCCGGCATTGACCGGGACGTTACAAATAAGATAAATTCAGACTGCTTGAAATGGCGAAAAGTCTCAAGAGTTACATGTGACGAACGATTGGCCCTAAAACTCAAGAAGAAGTATAATAAGACGGAACTGAGACCTTTCATAATCTATAGATCCGAGTTTTGGGCAACAAAAAGAGACGGGTGAAAAAAATATACGTGACAGAGATGCGAATGTTAAGATAGATGCGTGGTGTATCTATAAAGGATACAATCCGCAATGAGCCTATTAGGAAAAGCTTGAAAGTGGCACTTATATGGCGATCTTATATTGACGTAATATGGACATGTTATGAGAAGGTATGAAAGTGACGTGACTAGACGAGTGATGAGTGTAAATGTGGTTGGAGGATCTTAAGATAGATCTAATAAATGATATGACTGTGAAAAGAATCACATGGTGAGTTGACGGCTGATAGAGGAAATTAAAGGAAAGAACATGTTGTGCCGGCCATACCTAGTGCGGGATAAGGGTAGGAGAAAGAAGAAGGGGAAGTAATGTTAAAATACAATGTGATTAGTTTTGTAACCGAGCAAATGACTTCTGTGGCTTAATGAATACATATTTGGTGAGTACTTACGAATAGATCACCACAGACCATCTGAGATAAAGCAGAGAAATATTTTACTAAGTTTTTCATGTGCATGGTTTCGTAGCAGCTTCTACTGTTAAGCGAATGGCAGGCTCTTTTAGAGAAGCACTACGGCCTTACAAAAAACCGGCGTGAAGTGGAAATATTACACTTTCATTTCTTCCGGTGAAAGAGGTAACAAGGGCTCACTTTATACATATTCACTTAACATCAAGTGAACCTCTAGCCAATTTTAACTTAAAAAGTCTCGCTGTTAATAAAATTTTTGACGGTATTTCATTGCAATATTTGGTCGACCTGTCACAAAATTAAAAAAAAAGCAATCAATTCACAAAGATGTTCAAACATTTGCTAGATTTATTTAAATGTGTATTAACATAATTTATAATTTATTTTCTTATTATAATACAGCACGGACTTTCATTACTCGAGCCTTATTGGCGGCAAGGGATCCAGCCGAAGCAAATAACATACTCTTAGATCAAGGTCTTGGTATCGGCAATGGCTTCTCGACTAACATGATATGGACGAATGCCAAGGGAGAACGCCAATTATTGAACATAGAAGTGGCGCCAGATCTAAAAAACGACAAATCGATTATAAATGTTCAAAAGTACGATAGCGAACCACTGATGCACTGCAATGCGTGAGTTTTTTTGAATATTTTATATTTTAGGCTACGTTTCGGTAATTTTGTAAATTCATCATAAATATACACACAAAAATAAAGAATATGGAACTCCAAGTAATATCTCGATCCTATAGTGTTTTTTGATTATCAGTCAAAATTACAGCCCTTAGACATATAAATTTGCATGGCTAATTTCTATATATGTTTTGTAAAATATCACTCATCGCCAGACACTTTCCGCTGAACACAACTTCTAACAAATGCAAAGACAAATTATTATATTTAACTTAATTTAAAAAGCTTTATTTTAAATATTTTATAATTAAAATAAAGCTTTTTAAATAAGTTAAATATAATAATTTTTAAAGACTATAAGAATATAAAGATAACTATATAAAGACTATATTTCACTACCCATACTATTTACGTACATTACTTTTACGTACATATTTACTTATATTATGTATAAAACATATTCAGCTGTTAGTATGAGCGCGAGAGCTTTATGTATGTGTTAATCCGTGCGAACAAACTGTTTATGTCGATTACAACATGCAAAAAGTGATTGAAATAAAATTATTGACAGTAAAGTAGTTTTTAGTGTGTAATGTATGATTTTACCCTTTCCCTGGCAACGAAATGGAAGTAAGTGCTTAAATATCTTGCTATTGTTTTAATTCAGATACCTGCGTGAGCAAGTGCAGCAAGTCACTGGTGCCATAATCGATAGCAGCAGGGCTCGAATGAAAGCCATCCGCCAGCACCTGCCACCGAAGAGTAGATCTGACATCGAGGAAATCATTTCGGACACTACGTACCAAGAATATCCCGTGTTCCAAACAAATGTTGATGCTCAAATACAAACCATTGCAGCAGGTTTGGTTCCAATCTTAGTTCCAATTTTAACCTTATCGTACATTAGTACAGCAATGACATGAATATTTGTATTGAATGCATTGTTCCTGATGTGCATTCACTCGGACCCGTTGCAGCCTCCAACCTCCCAATGACCTGAATTCGCCAAAGCAGTAAGCTAGAGGGCAAATTAGATTATATAGAAAACCGATACCTTGAACTTCTTTTAGGACATACTCTTTAGGAGATTTTAGACTCCAAAATGACTTTTACAACACATCTTAAAACACGTACACAGAACCACATTATTTTCGGGCCCGATCTATAATTTAACGTAGCCCCTCAAATAAAATGCCCATGACGCACAAACTTTTGCTGTATGTGCTTTGCTCACGTAAGCTCTACAAACCTGCATAAACTTTAGTTCATTTAAAATAAAGTCATCAGCCAGGCCACCGGTGCTAGTTGGTATTAGCGTAGCCTGCTTAGCACTCCTGATGCTACGGAAACACTTCTACCAAAAGGTTCATCAAAAGAGCCGAAAACCATTCCAATCACCTGGTTTTAAATGCAACAAATTAACAACCCGACATAAAGGGGCAAACAGATCAAGGTCCAGGTCAAGGAAGAGAATATAGGTATGTCTAACCCAACATAGGGGTCAGTCGTTCTCATGCGTACAAAAGTGAGCAAGCTACAGCTGCACGACAGCGTTCAGTATGCCGTAGTGGCGGTATCCCGGCACACGATCAGCTGTGTTTACTACACAGACGACTGTGACGACGCAGGCCGCCTTATCCAAAAAGCCATGGCGGCATCAACCTGCAAGATAAGAGACTACAACCTTAAAATGGCAATTAGGAACAGAGACACAGCGGTCGCAGAGACTAGCAAAAAAATAACACCTATTACCAAATAACCTGCGACGACGAGATCTCCGTCCATTCTCCCTACAGCAAAAACTGTGCAGATCAAATATATATATATATATATATATATATATATACATATATATATATTGATTATTTTATATATATGTATGAAATAATAATAATAATAAAAAAATATATATATAAATATGAACTCACTGCTGCACCGCTACCAGCCCGGTTGATGTACGCGGCGGTGACAGCCCAAAAAGAAAATTAAAAAAAAAATGTTAACCAAAAAAAAGAGTACGGACCACGAGTCTGTAGAGTTACTTTGTTAAAAAAAATAAAAAACCCAACATAGGGCTAAGAACCAGAATCAATTACTTTGTCCTTGCTTACATACACGGAAAAACCAAATAGACGCGTACATAAGATACACTCGCAGTCTAGGACGTAGTCACAGCCCCCAGCTAACGCCTAATACAGTCAACGGATCAATCCGTCCCACCGCAGCAGCCGTTAAAAAGGCGAGCGCGGCAGTTATACCGCCGCCCGAGAAGGCTAAATGGCACCAGATTTTCCCTTTTTTCGAACGCCACAACATCCGCGACCCCCCGGTCGAAAAACACAACAAGGTATCCGCGTATACCTCGATACTACCGACGACTTCCGCCGCGTAAGCTAAATACTACATTTTCGCGCGAAAATAAAGTAGGCTTTCACACCTACTCGTTGCCCGAAGAATGCAAACTTCGGGTGGTAATCAAGGGCATCCCCAAAGAGTCGGATGTCGACAAGGCTAAAATCGACATCCGCATTCAGGGATAACCGGTGCATGCCGTCCGTCGCGTTAGACACCCTAGAACTCGTGTCCCGATGGACAGGGTAATGGTGGAACTTGACTCTACCCCGGCCATCTTCTCTTTTTTCGGCTCATGTACCTACAGTTCATAGCCGTAAATGAAACATACCCTGTAGCAATGATATTATTAAGTCATTGCCCTGCAGACAGACGTCTTGGTGGAAATTTGTGCATTTACTTTTAGTTTAGTATTAATACCATCACATAAATGCCCAAAAATTATTTGATCTAAAAGAGCATGTGTTGATGATGGTCAGTATTCAAAGCAAATCGATCAAACTTGCCGAAAAATACGGTCAACCGTCAACAGTGCATGCATTACGGTTACATTACAGAGCCTTATGTCCCTTTTAGGTTTAATATTGAAATTTATACTAAATAAATTACTATCTTTGTTTTCAGGTATATTTGATATGAATGCAAGTACTTGGAGCATTTACATTGACAAACCAAACGAAGCGGAGCCGGTCGCCATTTTACCTATGAGATTTATAATGTTGAATAAATCTTAATTTTAAAAAATACATCCTCACAATATTAGTATTTTATATGCTTAATCATAATAACAATTATGAGTTTGCTAATAAGGATTTATATTTCCAATTTTCTCTTTGTAGTTTAGTTGTTTATGGCGTGTAACAATTGCACATGATTCATTGCAATAGTAATAGCTAGTGTTTGTAATTCAGAGTTTCTATAGAAATAAAAATCTGTTCAAGATCTATAAAAAACTTACGTCTTTAAAAACTGACCATAATATCTATGTGAAATAAACATACGATAAAGTTTATTAACTCCATTTATTGACTATATCACACACAAAATAATTAATTATGTCACACATATTGCAAATTATAATTTACTTATTAGACGTTTATTTTTTGACGAATTCTCGCTTAAAACGAATAATTAGAAAACAATATTGTTGTTTATCTTTAAATATAATTTCTTATTCAGTGGCTATTTATAATGTATAATCACAATAATGACAGGTAAATTAATCCCTTAATTCATGTTGCACGTTAATAAAGCGATACATTTATCATCAGAAAACGATGGCGAAAGTATACAATGAGAATGAAAGATTAGATTACGACATTATTTATGTTGCATGACATTAACATGTATGGCAATAATTTTACAAATCTACGGAAACGATTAAAGGTTGAAGGATTTTGTATCCATAGCCATGAAATAAATTTATAAATTGTAAAAAAAAACTACGGTAGCGATGCTAGCTCGGCCACAAAAATGTCATAAAATTAATACTTACGTAGGCTTTATTAATTAAAACTTCGTCTATGGTCTATCTTAGAAATAGTTCCAGTTTGAGGTATAAAAAAACATATATTTCATTTGAATAAATTGAAATTAATTCCTTTTTAAAGTGAACTTTATTTTCGGTGACAAATATACAAAATCAGCAAATTTAAAAGTTATAAAAATAAATTTAATGTCTACCAATGGTATTGTTTATGATTAGGTCATATAAAAGTTGTCATCGTCTTTTGATTACCTACCTATTTATTATATACCTTTGTTATCCATATTTTCTAATACTGTTACCATAATTATAAGTGGGTGTTAAATTGAATCATTCAATAAAGCTATCGATATGATCAATAAAGTAGAAAAAATATGTGTTCACTTTTATTACATTAGAAAATGTTTACCATAAGAAAACCTGACTTAAAAATGTTAGTAAATTGTTGAAGAAATAAAAGTAAAACTTATTGTTACTTTCATTTACTATTTAAAGTTACTAAGTGACAATAAGAGTTGTTATTAGATTCATTTTCAAAAATAATATGTTTTAAAAATATTATAATGTTACGATAACAGGTTAAAATCAAAAGTTAAAAGCTTTTTTACTAGTCGGCCATATGAATTGAGAAAGTGTCTAGTGTGCCACCAGTGGCCATTGAGTAGATAGACTTAGTTACGTATCAGCTACAGGTAGTATTAGATAAATAATTCTACCGCAAGATATGAGGTATTCAAAGTGATCCTTAAGGCCATCCAACAAAGTATAATTTTAAATATATATAATAGCGTGGTAAAATAGATCTTATAGTGGCAGTCTAAGATAAAAACCTATTCCGCAACAAGTTATTAATCAAGTATAGAAATGTAACTCATTATAAATTTTATTAATCTGAGAATATAATTAATAGGTGTTCGAAAACGATAGGTCGATTCACAGGTGACAAACAGTAGTAGGACTTACATAACTAAATACGTGTTGTTACATTTAAAGAAAGCGGTACTTTTCCATTTATCATCATCATTAATTTCAGCCTGTTTGAGTCCACTGCTGAACATTGGCATCCCCCATAGACTGCGACAAAGTACGATCCTAAGCCACCTTAATCCATCGACTTTTCCGTTAGAAACTCCTCACTTTGAACCTAACTTAATCCACTAATAACATAGGTCCGACAAGGCTCCTAGATATACAAAAACTTAAATGACATTTGCATCCAGCTTACGAAAAAGGACCAAAAAGCTCACTTTGTTATATCTATGTGTAACATCATCTTTTTTTATGGGAGAAGGCGGCAAGCGAGCTGGTGGTTTACCTGATGTCAAGTGATAACCTCTGCAATGACATTTGCAACATCTATAGGGTCGGAAATGCTTTGCCATCTTTTAATAAAGTGGGTCCTGACTACCTCAGTCACCCGACGAAGAGGACAGAGGTATAACACTTCCACTTCTCGCCGGTCTTCTGTGAGGTCGTGGTGCTTACCCGGGCAGACCTGCCCATTTTTGCTACAACCGAAGTTGCAGTTATAATGACACACAATCTCCAAATAAATGAATTCTTCAGTTTCTAGAATCATACTACCTGCAATCAGAAATAAAGCGTCTTTTGCAACAACCTTAAAAAAAAAGGTGACTGAATAAAATCCTTAGCAGAATGTTAAAGTTTTATTCTTTTATTTCTAAAATATTGGCTCTAGAGGTGGAATATTTTGCACTATATTGTCACTATTTACACACAATAGCATTACAGTATGTTAACTTACCAAAAGTGGTAGTATATTATTTTTTATTAATGGTCAGTGGTGACCGGTGGCAGACAAGACACTTCCTTAATAAAAATAAAAGTAAATAATACAAGAAGCTAAGAAACATTAAAAGACACACATATAATCTTATAGATAGTGAACGATGCTCATAAATATTATTAATGGTAAAGATATTTCGGGGTACTATAGTATCCAGTGGCTTACTCAGAAGTCTGTATAACCATTGGCACGCCAGCGCCACGAGTTGTAAAATCGGTGTCAGACGCCAGCGTCATCGTGAGAAATAAAATGTCATGATACCGCATCCAACTTTGGCGATAATAACGCTTAATAAGCTGAATAACTAAGCAATATAATTATGTAAAAATGAAGAGTTATAATTTTAATTTGCGATTCTAAAAAATATATTAAACTTGAAAAACTGTGATGAAAACTGATATTTCTTAATAAAATGTTTATTTGACGAAAACCCTAACTTTACATCCCTTTTAATAATTTTAAAATAAACTAGATTAAATAAATCATTTCTAACAATATCTGAATCATTTAAAAACTTATTTACAATCATGAAGAAAAACGTAGAAGAAATGAGCTACTCTCCGCTAAGATAAAATGTGACCTTGCGTGCCTAATTAAAGTCAAAATGACAGGCATTTAAGGTCTCTTTCAAACGAAAATTAAACACCATATTTATTTTTAATGGCTCCTTACAAAATTTTACTTTTCATAAGTAATTATTAGATATTTTGAATTTAAAATTAATACGAATAATAATTATAATTTATATTTTTTTTCTGCAGCAGCTCTTTCTTGATGGAAGGCGACAACGCCGCAACCCTGCGCTGTGCTATTTGCCTTTCAGCACGGATTTGACTTAACCTATTAATGAAAAAAAAATATCATATGTTACGTCTATAAGTTTTTACTGTGGTACGACCACGTAAGAGTCTTCACAGTTGTGGCAAACTGGCGTGAAGTGGCAGTGGAAGTGTAATACTTTTGCGTTTCGCCTAATGATTGAGCCGGGGCCCACTTTATTTTAAACGCGTGGTGGCAACGCATCTGCAATCCCGCGGGTGTTGCAAATGTCTATGAGCGGCAGTGTTCACTCAATATTAAGTGAACCGCCAGCTCCTTTGCCACCTTCTGACTTAAAAAATAAATAAATAAGAATAATGATAAAACAAGTTAAATACTCGTCAGAGGTCTCGGCACTATCACGTCCTCTTCCTCGTCCTCTTGCACGACCACGCCCGCAACTTTCTGCGACGTTTCCTTCACTAAAACTAATGTTCATACACCATAATTTAATTTAAAAGATTAAATCTGTCTAAAATTACATATTATCTAATAATCCTTATCCACGTGGCATAGTGCCAAGAACGCTAGCTGCATTTCCTGGCTGAATAGTTATGCTGATCCTTAGAGCGAGAAAAGAACTAGCTCTCTTGTCACCATAAAAGCCATAAGCCTAGGACATAAACTTTTAAAAAAATTGATTTGCGGGGACCCCACGTACCTAAAGTTTCAACAGAAAATGGCACAAATACATAATCTAAACATAAATAATCATATTTGCCCCATTTACTTACTTCAGCTGCCTCTGATGCCACACAAGTCCTGACCAAAGTACAAGTGTACACAAGTGGCGTCCCAAAAAAGGGCTTTGCCTCTCACCCAAGGGATCAATGTTAAACCGTCGGGTCTCTTACCATCGTCGCGAAAAACGCCACAGGGCTCTAAAATGGATGGAACACTGGAGCCCTACGGATGATCTCGTTCAGGGAATCGTGGCAGGAAAAACGGCCAGCACTTTTTTGACAAGAAAGCCTGTGGGGACCAAATTTGTCTACACTGACACCACAAGGGCATTGGTGTGGTTGACAAATCGGTGCCTGCAGACAGATTCCTACAGCAACTGGATATATAGCAATATTTAATGAATATTTAGATCGTTTAGTAATCCGTACAAACCCTTATTATATTAGTAACTATGTCCGATACCATGACAATCCGCGATGTTGTCATGGCATCCACCGCTGTTGTCAAAGTCCATTGACAACAACAGGCACCTAGTATTGAACAAAATTGTTGAAGTAATAGATTCGTATCGAAAACATTTGAATTTATATTAAAAAAAGTATATTGATATACTAATTATGAACTATTCTTTCATATTCGCACAGTTTTGGGTCAAAAAAGACACACATTTCTGTGTATATCAACCGGCAGCCATTGTTCCCATCGCAAACAATAACTTTTTCGGAGGCGAAATATTAAAACTTTTCAATGCTAAAACTACTTAACTATAAAAAAATATTGTAGTATTATTCTTCCCGATCATTTATATGTATAATAGTATATAAATATCTACTTACGACATACAAAGAGAATTCACTAAGTTTGACCACATATTTTATTAAGTCAACAATCACTTCACACGTAACGCACTTACAGTTACAAAACTTTCTAAATTTTATTATGGCGTTCTGCTTGAAAGTTGTGGCTAGTTAAATTTATTTCGTTGAATAATTTCCTAAAGAACTATAATCAGCAGGCGCTAGTTGATGATATACGGAATTTGTTTACACTATGTCGCGTAGGTACCATGGTTCCCTATTGGCGGTTTACATAATTTTATTTTCTAGGTACTACAGTACCTGATGGCTTTCTGGGTGCTATAATATAAATTTTATTAATATACTAGTTTCTGGACGTATATTTTATTAATAATCTGTGAATGAACATGAAGTCATGACATGAACAAAAAGAAATGGATCCAATCCAATCAGCCAGCTGAATTGAATGATACTATTATCAGAATATCAGATATACAAATGTTCAATTTAAAATACCAGGAATGCAATTTCGTCTTTTATTGGTTTGTTTAAATCCTACGATAGAATTGTTTCGCAATCAAGTTTTTAAAATGAGATAAAATCTTAAAAAATATTTTAGTTTGGCTTTGATTCGAATCTTCTAATTTAAATAAATGTTATTTAAAGATATGTATTAGTGCAGCCCTATTAATTACTAAGTGGCTAAGGTATCTTTGTTTTGAAAGGAGTGGTTAATTGTGATATTATGATATAATTAAATAATGTTATTGTTTAAATATGAGATACAACAAGCAGGAATTGGCTGCACTTGCATCTCAAACCTCTCAAAACTTCGATCGTGAAGGTATATTAGTCTTAAAGGAAAAACAGGATGGATTTTTTCGAAGATCCGAAGGTGAGTACTATAAAAATACTATGTTTTTTCCATCCTAATCCCAAATATCTGAAAATTCTGTTTGTACATATTCTTTCAAGTTTCTTAATATATTTTTTTTGAGAAAATTAATAATTTTTCATAGTTTTACATTATTGACATATTTGACCCATTATTTTAGCTTTTTTCTTTTAATAACTTACTCATAAGTTTCTAAGAATTCAGTCCAAAACAATCAACAAATATTTTCTTCATAAACTAAAATTGTTTTAACACATCTTTTTTCTCTATCAAGTTCTTAACGGTATTTTATGACTAGTATAATAAATACCCAGAATCGATACAATTACCAAGTGACGCACCAAAACACTTGTCACATGTCGAAATCAAACCTATAACCCCAAGCCGAAGCTGATATATTAACAACTGCTACTGAATCTTAAGTTTACAGTGGTAGGGCCATGCAGCAGCCTCGGCTGTTGCACGAATGGGCAGGCCTATCCAGGTAAGTACCACGACCTCACAGAACAACAGCATGAAGTGGAAGTATGACAAATACTACTGCGTTTTGTCTGGTGAGTGAGGTAGTCGGAGCCCAATTTTCAAAAGGTTGTCAACGCGTCTGTAACCCTCGGGTGTGGCAGATGTCCATGGGCGGCGGTATTCACTTAACATCAGGTGAACCGAAATCTTAAGATACTACTGACTGAAGCATGAAGTGCATATTAATTTAAATTAAAGAAACGAATGAATGTATTTTTTAATTTTAATATCAAATTATGATGATATACAGCTAGTAGGATGTGTTGAAATTAGCATTAGATTGGTTGGCATTTTCATTAAGTAATTGACTACAGGGTCACAGGTTGTGATTTTATTCCCACATATTATGTTTAACTAATAAACAGTTAGTCTGTGTGTACTATTTTTATAACACATTTAAATTACTTTCCTACAATCAGTAATTTTTTTTACATCTAAGGCTTAGATAATATTTTCATGATGGTAGGTTGTTTCTCATATTTTTAGTTACATTGATTCTAATGTATACTTTGTATAAAATGTCTTTTTTAATCCTCCAGGTTCTATTACAATTTTAAAGTTAATTGATTTGGGTTTATTTCATGCCATTGCAGGTTGCTCATTGCGTTGGTTCCGGCTTCGTGGCAACCTATTGTTTTATTTAAAGGGACCCGAGCCTTGGTATGAACCCATGGGGGTCATTGTTCTCGGTCACCATAAAATTAAGGAGCAAAATCAGGATGAGAATGGCCACTGGCCATTTAATATTGGTAATTAACATTTTTAGCTTAATAATAATTTAATATAAAGTTATATTCAATAAATGTGTGAATAATTATAGACCTTTCATATTTTATAGTTTGGGAAAATGGAGTATGCTACAGAATGGCAACATTTCATGAATCGGAAAGAGTAATCTGGATTAAAGCCATAGAAAATGCACCATACAATGTTGTACATTCTCAGCTTATTTCATTAAAAGAAAGACTGAATAGAATCAGACCTATAGTGGATATAGCAACTTACAGAATACAAAAGGGAATAATATCGGGTATGTAAATATTAGCCATTTTATTTCATATGTTACTTTTTGAAGTCATATAAGTAAACTGTAAGTAGAAAGTAAATAGCTCTTAATCTTACAATAATGTTTTTCGATTTCAGACATGACTGAAATTCCATTGTGTGAGCTTGCTTTGTCATGCGATAATCTTTTGTGTGATGCATATGGTAAACCGCCATGTCCTTTGATTATAGTTTATGTCAGATATTCTAAAGAAGTCTGCATTAAGTATGGAACCACAGAAATAGTGGAGGTTAGAAAGTTAAAATAATTTAATAATAAATATAATTTGCAATATTGATTTTATATTCTTTTATTTTACTTTACTTGATTGTATAAAATAATATAATTGTAGAATTGCAGTAATCCCTGTTTTTCGAAGACAATATTGTTTCGTGCCAGTGATGGCTTAACTGGGGATGCAATGGTCAGAATAGTGGCTTACAATGTAAAGGAGCAAGTGACAGAGACTGCAGTGCCAATGGGCTTCACTTCTTTACAACTTAGCACAATACAGGTAAAAGTACTTCAAAAAGGTTAACATCTATATTAAAGTATTTTAATTCACCTTATTTATAATCTATATATATAAAAATGAATTGCTGTTTGTTAGTCTTGCTAAAACTTGAGAACGTCTGGACCAATTAGGCTAATTTAGGTGTGGGTAAATATGGTGGAAGTCTAGGGAAGGTTTAAATGAAAAATTGCATGGAAATTCGAAATTTCAATTTTATTTTCCCATGTTAACTGTACCTGTCAACCCGTCAACTCTGTCTATGTAACCTGTCAAAAACCTTTTTCGTCCGTTCAGATTCCTTTAGAAATAATTTATATAGCAAAACAATGTTTGCCGAGTCAGCTAGTGCTTTATAAAAACTATTTGTATTGATTAACCTGTATGCTATTTTCTTAAACAGGAAGCTCAAAGGTTAAGGATTGCACTGATGACTCGTGACAACAAGACAATCGGTTTTGTTACAATCCACGGATGGAGTCTAGAACCTTCATATATAGGTACTAGCCCGAGCCATTGCAACGAAAAAATTTGCATAGATGTACCACAAAAGGTGATGTGCCATCGTCGTTCACAATCATTGCCACCCAGATTGGGTCTCAAACTAAAGTTTCCGTCATATGGCAGTTTGCTGAAACAGAACTTTGTGAATAGCCATCAGGTCACTTATCGATTTCATTCTGGCCTTGGTGGCGATATTACTGTTCACGAGATAATGGCCGAAGCCAAACTCTGCTATCAAATACCAGTGCAATTGCTGTAAGTACTTATGTTATTAACACTTTTTTTCACGGTGGTAGGGCCACGCAACAGCCTCGGCTGTTGCACGAATGGGCAGGCTCGTCCGGGTAAGTACCACGACAGTTTCGTCCGGTGGAGGTGGCCGGAGCCCCATTTCCAAAAGGTTGTGAACGCATCTGAAACCCTCGGGCGTAGCAGATGTTTATGGGCGGCGGTATATACTTAACATCGGTTGAACAGTCTGCTCGCTTGGCAACTTTTTACATAAAAAAAAACTTTGTTTACACCCAACCTCTAACGAAGGTTCTTAATTTTCTTGCTACATGAAGTTTTTACCTCACAACTCTGTCATTTATTCTTTTTGCATTGGTTTCGGTTTAGTTACCCCATAACCCCAAATTAATTTCATTGGTATCTGCTCTTGGACTGCAGATAGACATTAGGAAACTTCTTAAAATCAAATAAAAAATGTAGGGAGAGTAATATATTTGAAGTCAGTTTTGTTTTTGTTCATATAATGTTTTACTTGTAAAATACAATCATGCGTGGTACCGCAAGGTAACATTTACGTATTGTATATTACTTTTTTTTAAGACTAAATACATTTGAGTTTTATTTGAATTATCGCTATCTATGGACATGAATGACAGCTGGCGAGTTGCAACAATTTAAGCGGGTTCCGGTTACCACACTTACCAGACGAAACCCGAAAGAACAATACTTCCATTTTACGCCGGTCTTCTGTGAGGGCGTGCTACTTCCCCGGACGAGCCTGCCCATTCGTGCAACAGCCGAAGCTGCTGTGTGGCCCTATCACTATATAAAAACTTTTCCTTCTTGATGGTTCTAGTCCTGGTACTTGCTTGGATGAACTTTTTACTGCGCGGCCCCCCAACTCTCTAAATTAAAATCTAGCATTAACGGTCGTCATCTGCTGCCATTGTGTTTTGTTTAAATCCAATGAAAAAAGGTAAAAATAGTAATACTCTATGTACTCGAAGACATAACCTTACTTGTTTTTATTCATTATATTTTCATCTTTTTATTATAAGCAGATAATTAAATTCACGGTTAAGCTACAGTAGCGAGTTTTGTTTATTCTTTTTAACATTTGGTGTTTTCGTTATAGAGAGATTTACATACAGAGAGAGAAGGAGCTTCTAGAAGAGTTGCTTTCCGTCGGCGAAATAAGCGGGCAGTGGCAATCGCGGCAGCTGGACTTGGCCAGCACTCACGTTTCCTTACTGAAGCACTACTGCCATTCGAAACGTTGCCTGCAAATTGCCGAAAACCCATACTTCAAGCCTAGCTGCAAGAAAGGTAAATTCGAAGCGATAATCAGCCACAATAAGGTTTGCGTCCGCTAAGCGAACGTTTAGGATTGCTCCAATATGCGCCGCGGACATGTACAGTCGCGCTGGTAGCCTGGACGCAGCGGTGAGCTCGGCCCAATGCGGTTCGGTACAGTCGCGTCCATTTCAATTCGCAGACGACGCGAGCCTCGAGTTCGCGCCGGTCAACCTTCACCTGCAGCGCATGTGGGTGCACAATGACACGTTGAACCGCACCGGCTTCCATAACGTGGTGACGGCGGGCGCTTTCGCTGCGCACACGCACAAAGCGGAAAGGACCGGCGGCCTTATTAGGTGGGTTCCGTAGGCGAGTGGAGCGCTTTGAAATGAGGTCAATCCTCAATGTAAAAAAAACATCGCACGGGTCACTTTAGATGTACGTGGTCGAGTTGCCCTCTCGTTCGATCTGTAGTCAAAATCGCTTTGTCTCGCTCCCACTACATGTTGATATACACCTATAGCATATAACAATGTTATTATTCATTTCTTTAAACTAGTGGTCGAAATTCGACCGTAGTTAATTATACATGGTAGTGTGCAAATGTTTTTTTTTTAATTGATTTAATGTAGTTTTTATTCATAATATTAGCATTCTGCACTCCTCTATGCGAACTAGCGCAATTTTCGTAAAATGGGATATAAAGTTTATAAATTTTAAAGCTTTAATACGAGAATAACTTTTACAATCGAATACGTAGATTTCGCCGTAGCCAGTGTTGGAGCAAAGTCATGCATACTTTAGCCTAAGTTGTCTGACCTGAGTTGTCCAATCGTAAGTTATTCTAAATGCAAAATCCACATATGATTTTGACTAATTATTAATAGTCATTAAGTACTTAGATGTTTATTAAATTTGTGTTCTTAACATGTTACACCATTTACTCATGTATTATAAGAAACGTAATTACTACAATAATTAACCCCAGCCAATTTTTATGTATCCATAACGAAAAATATATAGCTTACAGAAGTTAGAGAAAACCGTGCCTTACAGGTTAGTGCAACAAATGAAAGATATCAACAGCACCAAAGCTGCTTTGTACTCGGCCACCGCTACCAAAATACAAGCCGAGTACGACAACGTGGTAGCGCTGCGGCGGTTAATCGATGAATCAGTCACCGATATGGACAGGATCCTGGTGCTTATACAGGCGAAGCAGACAGCGGAAATAATTGCAGTCATCGAAGGTTCTTATTTAAACTAATTGGATTCCAAGCGTATCCCATTCCTAGCACCTCCTCTACCGGCGTTAATTATAGAATTTGATATTTATTTATGATTAACGGTGTTTCAATGTATTTTATGTTATTTAACAGCTGTTAAGGGGAAGATAAAAAGCATACTTGCATTGTGGGAGCCGGGCGTCGTCGAAGAGATGCTGGCCAGCATCGGTTGGCCCAAGAATACCTGCACTAACGATTCACAGAACCAGGTGATTGGTATTTGAGAATGATTTCAAAGTGTTCATCTCAAGAGTCCGACTCTAATAAGTTACGAGCTGTTAAAAAATTGCTTTACCGATAATCACTCAGTTTTCTGTTCAAGCTTTCTCTAACGCCACACAGATGGCAACCAATAATAGGCAACCGTTATTAACATAGCGGTAAGACTCGACTTCGCAAATTTGCAATTGTAATTGCCCATGTATTGTCACTTCGATTCCCACACGTGCAATCATTTGTATAACCAACTGATAATTGTTTCGTATCTGAGTGTCTGTCAACGGGTAGTTCATGTCTGTAAAACGATCTTATAGTATATAAGGTTCAGTACCACGACCCCACAGAAGACCGGCCTAAAGTAGAAGTAGTGAGTGAGTTAGCCGGGCACGCATTATTAAAAGTTGGCAACACATCTACAACCGGTGTTGCAAATGTCCGTCGGTGGCGGTTATCACTTAACATCAGGTGAATCGCCAGCTCGTTTGTCACTGTTTTACATATAAAATAAAAAAAGTGTGTGTGTCCTTATTAGTACACGCGTTAAAAGTTATATTTCTTTGGCGTAACAAGATAAAAATCTTTAAAAAAATATCTTACTCCTTATTCTATGTAGAAAAAACGACACTAACAGTCGGAAAAAGTTATTTAATACTAAATATTATAACGCATTTTATAGTTAAATAAAGTTTATTCAAATATCAGAAAATGAATATCGTGAATACAGTTGTCAGTTCTCACGCAATCATACCTAGATGTCTAGCTAACTTCAGGGTGTTGATTTTTCGTGACGGTGTGCACGCGCTTCCTAAAAATTTACTCTCATAATTTATCCCTAACGCACCAAAAGAAGTATATAACTTTAAAAATATTCCGTAACTCGCTGTGCCTAATTCGCTTTGCAGACGATGTCGACAATACTGCGGCTCACGGAGCAGTTGAGCATGTTCGACGCGGCCAGTTCGGACTGCGACACATACGACGCGTCGTCAAGCTCTAGCTCAAAGGAGACCTCGCCAACGGGCGAAGTGCCCGCCACGGCGGCCAGCGGCGGCGCCTCCCTGAAGTGTTCCTTGAGCGGTCTGCTCAAGGAGCCTTTCATTGACATCGCGGAGGGCGCCGAGCTGCAGTTCCACAACGACTACTTCAACAGCGAGGAGCGGCTTAAGCTGAACCATTCGTTCCGCTCCGTCCGGTCGCCGGTCAAGGCGCGCCTGGGCGATATAAAGGGGCTCTCGTTCGACTCGAAGTGGCCCCGCCACGGCAGTTTGCGCTCCGACCACAAGGGCTCGCCCTCCTTCGAACAGGTCTCGTACAGAAGTCTCGTGGAGGGCCTGAGCGCGAACGACAAAAGCAAGGTACGTGCCCCAGTCTCATTTGAAATTGCTCGTTGTGTTTTATGTATGTAGCATGCTGTGCGCAGTCGAATTTGTATCTATATGTTGTGTAGCGATCGCGTTTCGCACGGCCGCAATCTGGATGATAAATTTCTCGGCTTTACTCTACTATAAAATGCATGTATACTACATATACATTGCCTAAATCACTCTATGTATCGTTGAAAACCGCATTAAAATGCGTTGCGTAGTTTAAAAGATTTAAGAGCACAAACATCGGGAGTATCTTCGTTTTACACTATGTGATAAAGATAAAGATAACTGTAGTGCAATTCAATCTCTCCATAACGTGGTGACCAGTATTTTGCAAAAGTAAAAAAAAACTCGTTTTCTGTAATCTCGTGTCAGTAATGTTTAAACAATAGTGTTTTGCGAATGTGTTTTGTTTCTTTACCGGAGTTTTGAAATGAAAAATGGTCTTTAAGGCCAATATCTGCGAAGATCGCGTTTAGAATTCTTTTTGAATAATTAGGCATAGCTGTGCAGCTTGTTTACATCTTGAACTGTTGGTCCTGCATTAAATTTGTTTATAATTTGTGTAATTTAAAGCATAATAGCATAGTAACAATGAACTTAGAAAGAGCGATAATAGTTAGTCAACATACATGTATGCATATATATAAATTTATGTAGAAGTACTTTTGGTAGATGCTTGACCTGTAAGGATACGAATCCTTACTAATATAAACGCGAAAGTTTCTATGTATGGATGGATGTTTGTTACTCTTTCACGCAAATATTGAATGAGTTTTTAATGAAACTTTAAAATAATATAGCTTATACATCAGATTAAGACATAGGCTATAATTTGTATACATATTTTATGTATATCTGTCATTCTGTCTGAATGTTACGCCTTCAGCCTATTCTACGCAGACGTAGACGCGGGCAGCAGCTAGTTATTGATAAACCGTAGCTGTAGCTATGTACCAGGTTGGCAGGCGTGATAGTAAGCGTACGTCTGTATCTAAATTATGTCATTGACATAATGCAACTTATTGGACCATTTCCTTGAACTGTTTATTGCGATTGTGGCTTTTGTAGCGATTAAAATTTTAAGCAGTGCGAAATTAAATATGTTGTTTGGTATTGGACAGTATATATATATATATATATATATATATATATAGCGAGTTTATAGGCTGCACTCGGCGACTGCAATGAGTGTGTCATTAAGATATACGTCGATTTGTTCGTGCATCCGCCAGATGGCCTTAGCAAAAAGCGTCGTCAGTATTGCATAATAAATAGATTTGACCTGGTTTCTTAACATGACTTACATCTAGAAACAATGAATAACAATTCTTTAAGCCAATTTAGATACTGCAACTTGCCCCAGTTACATTAATGTTTTTTTATACAATGTCAAGTTTTATGAGACTTGTATCGATTACTTCTTACTATGGTTTGTTATTGTATAGAATTCCGGAATTAGTTCAAATATATTCGAAAGTATGCACCTGAAAGTCAGAACTTAAAATTAACAATAACATTGGTGCTGGCATCGGGGATTGAACTCAGGTTGTTCGACTTTATTGAATAAAAAGCGAGTGCCCAGACAATGAGTTATCACATTTCTTTTGTTTATATATTACTAGCTTTTCGCCCGCGGCTCCGCTTGCGTTGAAGTCTTAAATGAATATATATAATATATCTTTCTTTAAAAATTGTGTGTATATATATATATATATATATATATATATATATATATTAAATTTGTACCCTTTACCAGTCTTTTTTCCATTTAAAAAATAGCCTATGCCCTTTATCAGGCTCTAGACGCTGTGTACCAAATTTTATTTAATTCGGTTCAGTAGTTTTGGCGTGAAAGCGAGACAGACGGACAGAGTTACTTTCGCATTTTTAATATTAGTATAGATTGTAATACATGTCATTTAATAATTGGATGCTGAAATATTGACATTTTTTTAAGTTAATTGTTGGATTAGACCACATGAGTACATAAAGAACAGAGGCAACAAAGGATCACAAACCCCATGTATTGGTTACGCTATTGGTTTTTATCTTTGTTAAAAATTTGAGAAACTTAGTACAGAACGATTTATGTAGGCGGCGCAATAGTTCACCAGAAACAAACCAACACATCACAGGAGCATGCAATAGTTCAAACGGATTAGAAACGTAGCCATGATCCGGTCGCATACAAATCACCGTTCGAAATTTATCTTTAAAGTACAAACTCATATTCTTCTTAATAGAACACTCTTTTCAGAGTGGTCGTAGCTGTCGATGAACAGGATTTCGTCTCGTCGTCGCTGTTCGCTTCCAAGGCAGCCGCACGTCTTGCGATGTTCCTCCATTGGAGGCGGCTGTTAGCAATGCGAGCACATTGTACTGCGGTGGCTTTCGTAGTGCTGGTGATGAGGTCAATCCAGCGCGTGGGGGCTCGACCTCGAGGTCTTTTGCCTTCTACACGGTCTTGAATGACAAATCTCTCCTTAAACTCATATTACCACCCTCTAAAGCAGGGGTGGCTAACCGCTAGACCGCGATCGACTGGTCGATCCGGACTCGTTGTCCAGTCGATCGAGGCAAGGCAAAATATATGAATAGATAGAACAGACTGCGTAATGTACCTAATCACTAACTGCTGCACGGATCATCTCATATCATTTTTCAACATTCAAAAAAATTTTACATGATACTTCAAAACGAAATTATTACTCTGCGCTGCGACATATTTCTAAAAGCAAGGTCATCCATAAAGGCCCATTTACACGGTGCAAGTTCCTTGCCTGTTGTATACAATTAAATTGAAGCAATAAATGAGTTGCATGTTCTAAAAAACATAACATTCTTGATTGTTGAACAAGACTTGCTTCAAGTTTTGTTTCATTACTTTCCTTGGTGTAAACAGCACACACAAGAATTTCGTAAGCAATTCTTGTATTCAATTGCGTTTTCTCTTCCTTTGCAAACATGAGTGCAACGAGGGAGGGTGTTTAATCGTTGCTGTTCTTTTGAGGCAAGAAATATTGAGAAAAGGTCGTAAAATAGGTTGGATAAAAAGATGAATAATAATATATGGATAATAATAAATAAATCTCAATGAAATATATTAAATCGGCATAATCTAACTTGAACACTTATTATTGACCCATTTTTTTTAAATAAACAGCCCTCTTTAAAACGTTCAACACTTGAATAAAAAATTTGTCAACCCAAATACGTACAATACTTGAAGCAACACGCCAATAAGTTGTACACGCACATACAAGCATGTGTTTATACAAGTCAAAACTTGAAAGCAATAATCGCCTAAACATAATTGTATTGGTGTAAACAAAAGACATTTGCAATTATTTCTTATCACGACTTGCATACAATAATCGCATTTTTTTTTTTACTATATCTGCGTGTAAATGCTATGCCTCTGTCCTGCTTACCTGCTCATGTGATTAGACGGCTCGGTTTTAGAAGGCCCAATCCCCAAATTAGAAAAGTGCCCAAATTAGAAATATATCTATATTTAAAAGTTTTATTTGTATCTTACTTAGAAGCAACTGACATTTTATTACAATCTGTTGCCAAAGATCAAATACCATTACTTTTCTTCTTTATCTTGTGGACTTACGTAAATTGTACAAAGTGTAAATAAAAATATTTGATTTTTTTCTATACGTCAGTATCAATTCCGACCGTACGTTCGACAGGTCTTGAATCTTACTTCTTACTAATATTATAAATGCAAAAATTTGTATGTTGGAATGGATGTTTGTTACTCTTTACAATAATAAATATATTTTAATGAAACTACAATAATAAAGCTCATACACCAGAATAACACATAGGCTATAGTTTATAAACATAATGCGTGAATTGTCCAAAATTATAAATGTCAACTAAAACGAAAAAAATCAGCCATCTGCGAAATATTCTAGTGTAAAATAAAAAACTCATTGTTAATTTTCTTTGGCCGCGCGGGCGAAGCCGCGTTTAACAGCTAGTTAAAAAGAAATGAATCGCAATTGTTTTTCACTTTTAACAATGTACATTAAGATCTTCGGGAAACAATTGCGATTGGCACTAGCGTTGGTATTTTATACTTATTGTAAAGCGTTGCGTATGACGTCTCGAATATATTGTTTCAGGCTAGCAAAGTGAAGACGGATAGAGCGACATTGCCCAGTATTGGCATGTTGGATTCGAGTGCTAGGGAGAGCAATCTGGCGTATTTGAAGGGTCTTGGGACAAACGTACAGACCTTATTCACCGAATTTGTAGAGGCCACGCTCAAGACGTTGGATAGGGAAACAGGTGCACTTTTAATTTTATATTATAACCTAATTATATAATATAATCTGTTGAAATGGTTAGGTCGGAGTTGGTCGTTACGTCTGTTTACCGAGTGTTCAAAAAAATTTTAGAAATTCATCATATTCAAAGATCATACTAATTTATGAAAGTTTTTTTTTTTTGGTTAAAAGTTGGCAAGCAAGCAGGTCCCAATGGACATAATTATACACACTAAACAATGTTAACACATTATGGACATTAAAACAATGTTACTTCAATCATGAGACACGAAAGTATAATACGACAACGAGCCTGCCATGTAACAGTAGAAGCTGTTGAGTGGCCCTACCACTGAAATGATAAAAACTCTTGTACATTTCATTTGTTTCCATTTAAAATTATCATTTATGTAAATCAACTAACTGTATAAAATAGGCGGTCTGTGGAATATGCTTACGTTTTGCAGTGGACACAAAAAGTCGGAAATGATAATGATGACGACGAATTTACTGTATAATAAATAAGCAAAATTAAAAATTTTGAAAATCCAAGTCGGTTAAAAAGTAATTGAAAAGGATAAAATAATTATAAAAACCTCGATTTAAAAAATAAATGTAACGCGTGATAATAATCGTAAAAAGATTAAATAAGTAGAGTTGATCTCTCGCGGATTAGGTTATATGATTATATAAATAATAAAGTATCAGTTTCCGTAGCATATACCTACGTACCATTTGGTTTTCGATGACTCTAAATGTCGTAATAATCAACTACCTATAAACTTAATAGAAAACCCAAGAATTTCTGTCGAGGGTTTTATTACAGATCGTCGGGTGTCTATTAAAGACGCGTGTCGATAATTATATAACGGTCCGTTGTACACATTTAAACAATACAATACGCTCATTCATAACATTGTACATAATTATTGTTTATGATTCTAATAATAATAAAAATAGCACTAGTTGATTTGATACCTAAGTATTACTGGCATTTAAATACTTAATAGTTATTCTGAAAACGTGCATAGTTATAATCTTTAAGTAATAAATCATTGTTGTGCAAAATGAAACGACAATGGATGCGTACTGAATACGATAATCTAAATATGTTCCAAGGGTATAACAGAAAGATAAGAATGCATCTCTTTTCCTGGCTTCTTATAGATTTATTTCTTATGATTTTTAAGAATAAAGATTTTCTCCATGATTAATAGACGCTATTGTTTCGTTATCAGGTACGATTTGGCCTAGCAAACATTTATTAACAAATGATACATCTATAGTTTTTAAATATTTTTTAGATAAATACAATGATATTTACGTTGGTGTGAGCCGTTCTGCTCCGTGGCTAGAGCGTCGGGCGCGTAAGGACGCTGTTCCGAATCCTCGTAGCGGCGAACGACTTCGTCCGTTTTTCAGCAAATTTCATACGTCGACATTTCGTTTCTAGACGTGCCCGAGGCGGAGATGGACGGTCTGCGGGCGTTGGTCGGCGCGATGAAGTGCGAAGCGGACACGTTGGTGCGTTGGGCGCGTGTTTCGCACGCGGCGCTGCGGGTGCGCTGCGAGGCGCCCCTCTGGACCAGGGAGCACGCCGCGCTGCAAACGCGCCGCGACACCTGTTTCTCCCAGGCGGTACGTGATGTCCGAGTAATCCGTACCGGTTTTTTACCCCGTCGGTACGTGTAATGAAAAAGGGGAGACCATCGGCGCCCCTCTGGACCAGGGAGCACGCCGCGCTGCAAACGCGCCGCGACACCTGTTTCTCTCAGGTGGTACGTGATGTCCGAGTAATCCGTACCGGTTTTTTACTCCGTCGGTACGGGTAATGAAAAAGGTGAGACCATCGGCGCCCCGCTAGACCAGGGAGCACGACGCATTGAAAACGCGTCGTGACACCTGTTTCTCCCAGGCGGTACGCCATGTCTTAGTAACATGCACCGCTTTGTTACCCAGTTGGTAGATGTAGTAAGTAAGTCACGGAAGAGCGTCGGACTCCATATCTATAATATGTGAAAGCTTCCTTGTATTAGTCTTGATATGGTACGATTCCTTAACATAGGAATAAGGTCAAATATTTATCTTTGTATCTCAGACGTTCCGCGTTTTAAGGGGTATCGGTACGTGATACCCTTGGAACACGTACCGTTTTGTTTGGCAGATAAAATTAGAAACGGGAGAGCATTAGCCCTCATGCCTTTATGAGAAAGCTTGTGTATATTAGTATCAATGCGGTAAGAAATTAGTTCTGTACTGCGAGATAAGCCAAAAAGATTCTCATAGGCCGGCTTCTAATCCTTTCTTACGATGACACAGAAAAACTCATTGCAATTTCGTCATAACTACGCACAACGGTCTATAAATATTTGTACTATCTATTACATTTATCTAAATCAGACTTTTATTTATCTAATTCATAGTCACAACACAGGCGTCGCCTACTTACGCCACCGCGGTTAATGAACGGTTTTCAAATTGTCTCAGCTGCAATCTAGTTTTAAGTTTTTGAGCATATTTTTGATGTCTTGCTCTTGGTATCCGATCACTATCGAGCTACTCTAATTGAACAGTTTTCAACCATTGTTCTCTTCGTTTTAGGTTTTGTGGGAATCTAAATAGAACAGGAAATAAATAAGAAAAGCTCATTAAGTTATCTGAGGCATTCATGAGTTCTCTAATATTCAAATATGAAATAAAAACATTAAAGGCCACAACCAAATACCAAATTTATAAATTAGAATTATTACATTGAAAAGTTTGATTAAATTTGTTCATTATTATTTTTTTTAATTTCAATTGAACTCTTTTTGTTTCAATTAACTTTGTTGTTGACAATTAATTCTTTCACTTAATCCTGGGTATTGAAAAATAAGGTGCAACCGGCGCTGACTATAATGAAACTGTTAGGATGGAGTTATATTTAATTTCTGATCTTTATGCTCTGTCGTAAGGAAGATATTGTCTTATACTAAGACATACATTGTACATTACATAACTAAGATAAAGTAAACATTTTTGTGAGTAATAAATTTATATTGAGCTTGCTAGTCCAGGTTGAAGGGCAAACCTACTTGGTGTCCTACTTGGAACTTTAAAAATGTTTAAGTAACTGTGATGGCAAAAATAAAATAAAAGCAACTCTGGCGGGGAATCGAACCATAGACACCCGCTGACCGGCGGGGTTGCTAAATTTAAACTCCTCCTTGAGACCTTTAACATGCATGATATTTATTTTTTGACTTCAATCTTCTCTTGCAATGGGAACGGTAGGAGTTAATTACTTCGCCCTATCCAACACTTTTATGTTTCTGTTTGATGACCCAATTGGCGTAGTGGATAGTGACCATGTATCTTGCGCCAGAGGCTGTGGGTTCGATCCCCACTACTAGAAAATATTGTGTGGTAAACATAGTGTTTTTCTAGTGTATGGGTGTTTATACAACTATAGTATGTGTTTATTTACAAAAGAAAAGTACGTTTAAAAATGTTTATCAGTTACCTAGTATCTATAATACAAGCTTTGCTTAGTTTAGCTAGATAACGTTGTGTAAAAATATGTCCCGAAATATTTATATATTTATTGTTTCTTTCATTATTGTCTGCTATAGTTGTCGACGACTACGGCGGGGCTCTTGTGCTGGGTCAACTCTGTGCCTGGTGACGTGATAGTCAAGTTGCTGAGCTCCGACCTGGGTCCGCTGTGCGGTTTCGAGGGTCTGCTCAGCCTCTACTCCACGGAGAAGGCGATGTGGGGCGACATGGTGGTGGCGGTGGAGGACCTTCAAACTGTACTGTTCACGCTTACCAAAGTCGGACACAGGTACGACCCGTCAGGTACTTCAGGTCTGCTCTCTATCTTTTCCTTGGGTAAAGGACCCTAGATACAGTTTTACAACGGCATTATGAAACGCATCTTGGTATTTTTATGCCACAAAATTTTGAGGAATTTGCTCACATGCTATTCATCAGTTAATATTCGATGAACTCTGATAGAATCAGATTGTATTTGAACCCTCGGAAAGTACTACAATTTTCTTCAATGGATGGTTAGCGGGGTAGTAATAAAAATTTAGATAGTTGAGTGTTACTACACAGGTTGAGTTTTTAGAGCGTAAAAGTTTAAAAAGGCATTTTTTTTAACTTTTGAGCACCGAGCCATTCTTCATATCTTGTACGTGTGAATGAAGCGGTTTTTGAAGTTTGAAGACCTGTTAAAGTTCAGGTTGCTTTAGAGAGAGCTATCTAATAATAAGACTGTTTTATTGGTATTGTTTCAGCTCTAATCTTATCACTCTATGATTTAATTGCTAAATAACTTAAGAAGTATAGACAGACTAAATTATGAATTCGATTCGGCGGTAAAACAAACTTTATTAAAAATAAAAAATAAATAACTTAAAACAACAAGGCAACCCGGATTTACTGTGACATTAGGACCTCTAAGTTCTATCACCTAAGTCTGTCCCGAGATTAAAATAAAAAAATAACACCGATAAAAATGGTATAGAAAGTATCAAAAATTCTATTTCCTTTAATAACGTGTTTCATTGATGTATGTGTTGTGTAAAGTAGCAGTGTTACACTGCTGCGTTTCGTCTGACGAGTGAGGTATTCGGGGTCCACTTTATTTAAAGGTGGCAACGCCTTTGCAACCCTACGGATGTTGCAAATGTCCATGGGCTGCGGTTATCACTTAACATCAGGTGAACCGGCGGCTCGTAAAAAAAATGTATAAATTGTGTGTTAAAATTTTATCATTTCTTTCAGCAATAGTGCAATACCCCAAGTGAGCGGGACAAGGAGTTCTCTCGTAGTCAGCATCCCTATATCGGACTCGCTCTATTCGAAGTTTACTTGCAAAGAAGTAAGTATTATAAAGGTGGCACTAGACTTATGTACCTGAATGAAGCTGATTTTGTTAATTTTGCGAAAGTACCGTCGCGTGCGTAAATTGATTAACGAAACTAATTAAAAGTCATAAAATATTTTTCACTATATCGAATAACAATATTGTGCGCCACTATGCGTAGCGCGTAGCAAGAGCTTAGTGGCTCATTGAAGATTAAGAGAGAAGGATTATGAGTATCTCGGCAAAATTATGAAAACTTTCGATTTAAACTTGATTTTAAAGTAGAAAGAGATTATTTTAGAAAAAAAAAAATAATGTAACTGTAGCGCAATGCCACAGTTCCATTATTAAAGCAAAAAGCAGTGGATATATTTTTATTTACGAATTCTACTTCATATTTTTTGCCATACTTGTATAGTGCACAGTGCTAGAGATCCCTCTTACTGCCCAAGTCGATACGGAACTTTCAATGGGGGTTTATTTTTCAGCATTTATCCTTCACGATTACCGCCGTATTCTTCAATATCGGTTTCAACGAGAAAGCCACCTTGGCTGAGGCACTGGGAGAGACAACGCCCCAATACCAGTCCAACTGCGACAACCTGGACAGATTGAATAAGTACTACCACAAATACAACAAGGTGTTCCCTGCCGATCACATGGCTGCTAGTAGAGGTAATATATGTTTCTGTAGCCTTTAACAATCAATACTTTCATAATTAAGTTCATGATTGTGTTCGCATAAATTCGGCGGCACGCGGCGAATTATCCAGTTTAAAACATTAAACCACCCAGAAAGAAATACATTTTCTTTTAGTGATATAGCACAATGTGATAATTATGTTTCATGAAACACTATTGTTTCTAAAATCAGAAGAAAGATAATCCATATTTTATTATATAACTAGTGGTCGCCCGGTAGTCGAAAATTTCTACTATTAGAATTTAATTAATTATAATCGAATTTTGACTCGAAATTTTAATCTATTCTCAATTTGAACACAGACTTTAACAATACATAAACAAAAGAGTATATATGCGTGTGTGTGTCAAATACATGGTAGTTACACACTATATGTTTTTTTATTGATTTAATGTATTTTTATGTATAATTAAAAAAATGTATTAGCATTCTTCACTCCTTCTCTATAAAAACTATAAGTGTGGGAAATTTCATATTCCTCCGTCCACGAAGTTTTCGTAAAAAGGGGTACAAAGTTTTGCTTCACATATTAATATACGGGGAGGCTTTTCTAAGTGTATCCATTTTTTTAAAATTAAATTCTAGACATAAATAATGTGTATAAAAAAATGATAAATATTTTAAAATCAGTCGTAAGTAATTAATTCCATTCATTTGAACTTATCCCAAAAAGTGCGTGATTTATACGCAACTCATTTATTTTACGCGCGAATCATTCATGATTAACACGCACACAAGTTCGTTTGTGTGCGTGAACAGTAAAATTTAGGTATTTGTGAATGACTGCCGCGTTGCCAACAAGTTCTGTTTTTTAGGGAATAGAATGGTAATTTTTTTGAAAAAAAAAAAGTTTGTTTTTATTTCAATAAACGATTATACTACCGCGTCTGAATTTTCTGTGTAAATTTGGGCACTTTATAAATTCTCCCTGTATAGATAGATTTACTGTGTAATAAATAGTTTTATTCAATAAATGTTAGTTACATTGCTCCTATTTAAAATAGCGTGCCCGAATACGTTTTTCTATTGTTTGCGATTACTTCTTTTGTTTTATAGCGTCGTCAAGGACAAAGCCATTAGAGGAGGTGATGGAGAACTTGCGCATAGTTGTGCATAAGAAAGTGCCAAGAAATGTTGAAGTTTTACATTTGACGTCTTTGGCGACGCGGCTGATGAATGGTAAGGATAAAATAAGTAATATGCGTAAGTAAAACATTATTTCATATTGAAGTAATTGGTCGCTTTTGGAAAAAAAATAGGTGAGGATAAATTTTGTGATGCGCGCAAACCGCAAGTTGGTCGCAAAGCGACGAACTTCACGGGGCAACCAATGACAAATTTTTGGGCATTCGGGAAGATATATTCCCCAGTTGCCCTAATAATCCTTCTCCCTTTATGATGTTCTCCCTACATACATTAGCAGACTAAATAGAACAGACGCAAGCTCTGCGCGTTTGCGCAACTTCCGTAGACCACCAGTACACCCGACGCTTGGGACGGAGATTCCTGGACATCGATGCATCGCAAATTTGCGTCATCGCGTCTCGGCACCATTCAGCTACCCCTCGACGTCCAAACTGGTGGGCACGGGAACCCATGGCTGTACTGTTGCCGCCTCCTTCAAAACTTCGCAGTTCGGGTATCCGAAACGCCACCTTGGCCGTTTCCTCTCGCAGTCCGGCTTGGGCTGATCAAGACACCCGACGGGGCGGGGAGATGGAACGGAAACGGTGATCCGATAGTGTCCCCTCGCCAACACCTTCCAGCCCTGAACGCGGCGTGACAATGCAGGGATTGCGAACGACACGTCCGCAATGGAGCTGCCCTGCCATCGCACGTGTCCACCGAATCTCTACTGAGGGCAGATAGCCCGACCTCCAGGGGAAAACTAAAATACCTAACCTAACTAAAACCTGTGAGGTTGAGAGGCACCTTCAATTATAATTTTGGAAGCACTTCAATATAGATAACAAATGACGACATGTGAAACCGAAACTTGTTTGTTTGCTTCTTCATTGAGTTTGTTTGATTATTGGTTCATGGATGCTGCAGTATATACTAGTGGAGGACTCTTTTTTTTTATGCGAGATGTTGCCAAGCGAGCAGACGGTTCACCCGATGTTGAGTGAATACCGCCGCCCATGAACATCTGCTACTACTGCCCAGGGTTCCAGATGCGTTGACAACCTTTGCAAACTCTGCCAAATTACTAAAATCATTTATCCTCTATTTCAGGTGTGAGATTCACTTCCTGCAAAAGCGCTAAAGACCGGACTGGGATGGCGGTTACTCTAGAGCAGTGCTCTATTCTGGCCTCGGAGTACCATCTAGCTGAACACGAAATGAAGAAAGCCCTCAATATTATGAGAAGGTACAGGACGTACTTGCGTCAGTTTTTTTTACTTTTACCGTATGCTGTATATTTTTGTACTGTTGACGAATCTGGGTAAAAAGGTGGATGGCATGCGCAGTACTCGGTAATAAATATACTTGTGTACTTGTGTATTAACTGATGTTTTTGCTTTCAGTCCCGAGACTATTAAAGCTTCATCTGACGCAGAACCGGTGGGCTAGCCAGAACCCACGGGTTTGGGCCCTCCGCTGTGGGTAGGGCCACGCATGTGCTCATGCGTGCGTTTAACTAAATAAATATACCATAACCCACGGACAAGTAAAATAACAGGAAACCGCGCCATCCATATGGAAAGTGAATAAGAAATATACGGTGTATGTGTGCGTGATTTGAGGGATGCCTCTTTTTTAATATTTCTCTAGTTTTTTTAAGACGTAGCCAGCCATTTTAATAAAATGGTACAAGAAGTCTACTTACGTTATTTAATTGATATGCAAAAAACGTAGGTAAATTAAATATTTACCCTGCAACTTGGAGTCAATGCATGTTTCACGAAATGATGTTACATACTCACTGGGTAGGATTTTCTCATCGATAGAGATTCCTGATTGGTGACACAAATTTGATAGAGTAAGGCCCGGTTTTCGAAATACTGATTATCGTAGAAATTAACTAATCAGCTGTCAAATAGCTTTTCAAATGTCATTTGAGTTGCCAAAAGGATGGTTAAACTCTTTGAATTAATCATTCTGTTCATTGAGAAGATCATTCTGATTAACTCAGAGAGCTTAACCATTCATGTATGTTTTGAATGGAATCTAGAGTTCGTCACTTCTGCAGTTACTTATAATTTTAACCCATCATTATTGCATTATTTGATTGTTTGTAGGAAACCTATAAAAATGATATTAATCAATACTTGCAAATAATTTCAAAAAACACAATGAAATGGACTACCCAAACCCTCGGAAAAAATTACCCATTTATTTTCCGATAAAACTTATACATCTGTGAAGGTTTTATGTGCCGAGGAGTAGTCATTTTAAAATTTAGTAAATGTAATAAACCAATCAGTTAAATTTGTTATTCCTTGACACTTTTTCTAAGATTTAGTATTATTTTTGCACCATTTAATACCACAAGATGGCATTATTTTATTTTGATTTTGATTACCATACTTAGATGGTACCTAGATAGAGGTCGGCTTACTGTGATATATAGGTTGATTTTATAGACGACGGACATATTAACAAAGCATATGCAGAATTTTGATTCTAAATCTGAATATGGTACGTACTTGTGACCTCATTTTTTTTTCAAAGATTATTATCGACACCCTATTAGATATTCCTGCCTTACCATCTCGATACAATATATTACTCGATACAATACTATTCATGAGCACTAAAACTGTTTGCTGAACGCATAATTACTAAACCGCTTACCAATGGGGTGACCTCTCTTAACGGGATAAACAATGTTTGAATCGATATTTTTCTGGGTGTTTCCAAAGTCAAATATTAATATGTTTTTTAATAATGGAATGCTCAATTAACACTATGCCAAAGTATGTTCTTCGTCTAAAAATCACCCTGTATATGTGTGCGTGAGGAATGTACACATTTACGAGCGGTTGGGCTTTCTTACTGTTACAACTTCATCTATTCCCGGTATTTTCTAGTCCGTACCGTAGATATTGCACTCCGTCCTTTGGATGGAGACCATCGGCTAATTTCGTAGAGCGTTATCTTTGTCGCATAAAGCTAAATTATGGCATCTTAAATGTGGAATTGTAAGATAATGATAATTGTAAAATAAGGCGATGACTCCGTGGCGTAGTTGCCAAGGCATTGGCTTCGGCGTCGAGGGTCGTGGGTTCGATTCCCACACGGGACACTTATTTGTGTCGCCCACAGATAATTGTTCCGAATCTGGGTGTTTGTCGGCGTGAAATTTATGTTTGTAAAACGTCTTTACAAGACAGGATAATGTTATCCTAAAGTAAGGGCAATGTTTCTTAAAAAAAAAAAACGAAAAAAAAAAAAAAACAAGAGTAATGTTTTTGACGTTTGTCCGGTGATGGAGGACATGGAATACAATACAATGTGTGTGCCGTTGTCCATTTTAAACCGACTTCAAAAAAGGAGGAGGTTCTCAATTCGATTGCATTTTTTTATTTTCGTTATCTCAGAGCTACGTCACTTATGAACCGATTTTAAAATTTATTTTTGCATTGGATTTGGTTTAGCTCCAATTTGGTCCCATATTAATTCCGTTGGGATGGGTTCCTTAGTATCTATCGGTGAACTCTTGAAAAATCAATCATAAAATGAAAACACAGCGAGATATTTGCAGTCGGTTATGTTTTTCGTTACTGAAAATGGTTAAGTAAACATAACGCAACGTGTGCTTACAGCGAGGGTTGCCGCCGCGAGAACACCTTCAAGAATATCGGCATAAGAAAGTACGCGTTCACTAAGAAACAGGCGATGGCGCTCCCGCAGCAATATCGCCCACCCCCCGGCACATACGGGTCGTCTCAAACTTGAATCGCCGCATATGCACTATACTGTTATTTACGACACAATCACTCTATTAGATTAGCGGTAACGTCATACAAGTTATGGGCGACGCAGTCTGTAGAAGCACCAGTGCCTCACAGAACACTAGCATGAAATGGAAGTATCCTATTTTGCGTTTGGTCTGGTGAGCGATGTGACCGGCGCCCATTGTTCTAAAAGGGCAACTCATCTGCAACCTCTCGTATAATGGAGATGATTAAATGATAATTTAATGATGACGGGTGGACCGCCCGCGCGTTTACAAATCTTTGACAAACAGAAAAGAAATATAATATATATATATTTCCACCGATAATTGACTCATTACGATATCTCTGGAACCATAAAACTCGACATTTTAGTAGGATTATTTCTTTCACCGAGTAGAGGTCAGCTAAGATCCGTTCTTTACGAAATTCCACAAAAAAACGTTTGCCGGATCAGCTACTATAGTTATAAGACTACTATTACTTTTATTCTGTAATTATCGCCATATCTAATTTAATTTCAATTAATTTTATTTTATGTTAAACCGGGTATGTAACGAGTGATTTACTTATTGTATTTGACATATAGGATTAATGGCGGATTTGTCCAATGTCCACTTTATCGATTGAAATTTTCCTTGATGACTTTCAAAATCAAAACTGTTTATAATTCACTTCCGACGAGAACGAGATCCATATAAAAATATCAACATGATTATAGGCCATTGATACACTATTCAGTCAATTTGACGTCGAGAAATTTGTATAAAACTCAAATATTTCGTAGATGAATATCATGAATGATGATTAAAAATGTGACGATTTTGCCCAATACTTATATTCATTATTTATTTGCTAAATCAAAAATTTGTTAAAATTCTTTGGAATGTAATAATTGTGGTTCTTTTTTGTTGAGAGGAAAAGAAGGGTGAGAAATTTGGACCAATTGGCATTTTTATAAAACTAGTTTGGTTACAACAGTCTAATCTAGTTTCAAAATTGTCGGTATTAGTGCGTACTTATCGCAATTAATTCCATTATATTTATTTATTTATTTTGTAAGTAACTTAGACCAAACTTCACGTCGTAGTTGCCAAGTAGTACTTGAAAGAGATGTATTAAATTATGATTATATGTACTTTAATATTGATGTGTTAGAACTTAGATGATATTGTAAAAATGAGATAAAATAAATCCAAACGCAAATGTTTGAAGGTTGGTCTATAGACCAATGTACACACTGTAGAATTTGGATGGCTAGCGTATCTTCTTTTTTTTCCCCGTGCTCATTCACGGGTATGTTGGCCTTTAAGGGATGTTTGTGTTATAAGTTCAGAACTATGTGCCGTATTAATATATAACTGTAAAATCGAATTATTTATTTTTGATATTTTTTAGTTTGATATCTTGTAATAAACTTGGAAATGTTATAGGTTTTAAAGCAACGTTCTTGTGTACAAATAAACTCTGATGTTGTATTTTCTCAAGAAATGTACGAGGAGCAAGTGTACTTATTTTTATTATATTTAAGGTATACTTAATAATAAGTTCAGGTTTCAATGATGGTTCTTCCAACTTAACTGTGCCAAAACAATAATTAATCTAAATATACAACCATGAATTCCCATTAATTGTACTCTGACCAGAAATATGGAAGACCTTCTGGTGTGCTGTATTTGCTTTCGTATTGTAAGTTTTTCACAGCGTGTTGGTTGTTTTATTTTTCTGGGCAGGATATAACTTCCACGTGGACCTGATATTTTAATAGCTTTTACAATTTTTAGTATTTTAAAATTTTTGTTATTACATTTTTCTTTCCAAAAATTTTTTACTCTTCTACTGCCAATAGTAAGCAGTACATTATCGATGCTATGTTTTAAAAGTGCCGAAGACGGGCATTTGCAACATATAAATATCGTTTCCTTCTACAAATAATTAAAACTAGTAATTCTTTGTTTAATATGACGCACACATTATAAGACACACTTGTGGAGGTAAAAGACAGCTGATGAAATGCGGGGGGAAAATGACATTTCAAATTATTTGTTCATTGTAGTTTTATTATAGGGTAACAACAAATAAGGAAAAGTTTAGACAAAACATTTTAGATGCTGTCGGTATCAACTTATTGTAACGCGGTACACTTATTTTATTTCACTTATGATTATAAAATGTATAACTTTCTATCCAATTTAAAATACACTGCCGCACAACTTTAATATATCTGTTAGCAAAATTAGTCGTATAATATGAAAGGTCATTTCAATTTTAAAACATTTTCGTATCAATAAAGTAAGTATATCTTTAGCGTGTATCGACAAATCTTATAATGATAACCAAATAACATTATAAAAAATACAACGAGAATAATAATCTGTATGTATTCACTAAAAAGTAAACTTTCGTCTTTTTTTTGGTCAAAATATTGTATGTGTGTCTAGCTGTTTTAAAAATATGACATGATGTCACACTTATCGTTGTTGGTTTCTACCTGATGCACAAGAATATTTTGAACTATTCTGTTCAAATAGAAGTATTATATTAGATATTGTAGTTTGAAATAATGTAAGTTCTGCACAACTTCTCTACTATGTAGAACTGATGAATGTTAAGATAAATGTGTTTCTGCGCAGGGCGCTTTAAATATTAATCCTATTGTGATAGAAATTGAGGTTCGATTATTATGCACATTGTCGTGCCGCCTCAGTGTGTTCTCACTTTGTGGGTAATTTGTATTAAATAAGAATTAGTGGAACGAACGATGAAATTCCATGCAAGGCTTTATTCGATTGGTTAGTAAATATAAGTTTTTGGTGTAGTTACTGGTGTGTTTTTAATGTCATTTGTAAGAACATAATATGGCCGGTGCTGGATATATGTTAGAGCCTTGATAGCTCAGTGTCCGGGCGGGCCTTTCAATCAATATACTCGAGCAACCCGAGTTCGATCCCCGGTGCTGGTACAAATGCCCTGGGACCCTGTGTACAGAGGAGGCCTTTGCCCAGCAGTGGGATATGTATTGGCAGATACTTTACTTTTATGGCTGGTTATTGTTACCGAATGTCGTAATACTTCTATGTCAAATATTAATTTACCCAAAAAAAAGTCTCAACGGCCCACGTTTCATTCCCAGTAATGGTCATTCAAGTATTTAGTAGTACTAACGTAACCTTTATGTACCGTGAAATAACTGAATATATTATTAATTAATTGTAGTTTTGCATCATTTTATGTTTCAAGCCATTTCTTTTATTATAGCATCAAAATTATAAGGTAAGTTTATTCCGCTATTTATTTTTATTGATGCAATGTAGTTTAACATGACATCACGTGTATATGATTTTATAACTGTAGTTCTATTTTAAATTAATAGACTCAATCGTAATGCGACATATGCATCGTCTAATTGCCAATTATATTAAGAAATCCATCAAAAAAATATATATTTTTAAAATATATCGTATTTCGTTGTCAATTATTTTAAACCCGAATACATTGCTGGGAAAATGGTTAATATTTATGGTTTCTCGAATTGTGTGCATCTCTCCTGTGACAGTTCTTAATAAATTACGTTTGTTACCGCCGTAATTCCGGGTATCTTATGGCCATAATTAATATAGTACATAATTATAAATGTATGTATAATATGTTACGTTGAGGTATCCGTAAGCCAGCGGGCAAATTTTGCCATATCAAATTGATGTTGTACTAGTTTGGTTATGCCTTTAATTCTAATGTTATTTAATTAAATCAAATTATGTGTATGACTCATGCTTCACTTTTTATTTTTAATGTGTTCCAATATTTTACGTACTTGCTTACCAGTGAAATAACGTATAATTAATAATTATGAGTGAATGGCATTAGTCAAAAGTTTTCGAAATATAGTGAGGAACTACACATTCTTTTCATGATCTATTCCAATTACCCTAATAGGTGTATTACGTTAGTATGAATGCATTGGCTAAATTTTATAGTTTAAGCTACAGTGCACATGTATAGGCGTAAGATGAAAAGATAACTTTGACGTTCCACTGTTTACTATGATGTTACACATTTAAATAGTTATTGACACTGTCTAGTTACTGACTCTAATAAAACAAAAGAAGATACTTACGCAGTTCCAATGCACAAAATAGTAAACCGATTATAATCTTTAGCATAAGACGTCTTCTATTGTAAATCTTGCAAATTTTTATTTCGTCATTTAATTTGAATCTGTCGTATTTTCATCGAAAAACTCGACCTATCGGTTTAGGGCTGTGAATAATCTGTGTGTGAAATTGATATTAAATGATGTTGCTTTCCTTATGCTTTGGTGGTTTTATTCACATGTTTATTAAGTTAAATATATGTTACTATGTGTGTTTTTCAATATTAAATTAAATAAAAGTCTAGCTAGTCTAGTTTTTGTACATTTATCTACAGAAAATTAAAATTTAAAGTATATTATTTTTTCATAATACCATAAATATTAGATTAGGCTGTTTAAGTGCATATTATGAAAAATAGTAATGCAATTACCGAATAAAATATGATAATAAAGGGACCATAAAGACGGAAAATGTCACAGCGCTTTAAAATCGAAAGAAGTATGATGGAAAGGAAAAGTCTCATGGATGACGTGCTTAATGGAATTGTGGCGGATAGAACAGTCAGCACTTTTTCGCATAAAAGTTGAAAATCGTAGGCATTTTCATTGCCACCAGGAGAATATCAATTTATTTGATATCTTTCTTATATTTAATTTACGAGGGGGAAATTCCTGCACATATTGGAACTAGTGAGGGCAAGGATGGATTACCTTGGACAAGCACCGACTAAAACCGCCACGATGTTTCACACGGGGTGTATATCGGCAGGGTTATCAGATCGCCTTGGCATACTGCCGTGAATATGCCAGCGCCAGCTGCCTTAGCATTCCTCCTCGGGGAGCAAATTCACTATTCACTAGGTAAGGTCCGGAGAAACAAAGCTCGTGTTGTTCTACTTGGCCAT